GCCCGGAGGAGGGGGCTGCGGTCGTGTGGGGACTGAAGAGAAGCGTTAATGGAGCAGTTACCGAAAACACAACGTGTTCTTCCTGAATGGGATATGGGGAGGTACAAGAATAGGAGTTAAAAAAAAGGGGGGACGGGTTCTTTTTTGATTTCTAGGTCATTTTATTTGCTCATTAAAAGTGTTAACAGTTGAAGACAAGATCTTGCTGACTGATGCTATTTCTATTACATATTGGCCATTCTGCTCGATGAAATTGAGGGGTGGAAAAAAAGAAAAGTTGTGCACAGGAGCAATTTAGAACTCCACCTAAAATATCAAGGGATTTCATCCTTGTCCACCCTTCTGAATAACTGCTTGGGAGAAAAAAAGTGTATGTGTATAAATACTTACATAATTTACGTTTTAAAATATATGTGTATATATAAATACATATGCATGTTGTTGAGGAAAGGGTTCATAACAAATCTGTCCTTTTGTCTCCATAATACACTGGAGTTTCTTGTTTAGTTCAGATGAGAAAGAGAAACTTTCTGTTCACTGGAATTGCTGTCTCTTCAATAGCTCGACCAACAGAATACATCCTTTTGATCTTTAGTAAGGTCATACAGAGAATCACTGCAGGTATTGTACTAAACCCTGAATCCCTAAACTTCAAAGCATCATCTAGGGCCTGACAAATAAGAACAAACCCCATATAGATGTCACGGGTCCTGAAAATCAGAATACACTACATCACAGAAATTAATTGCATGTAGCAGAATCTAGGAACAGAGTCAGAGGGAGGCGAGATCAGAAAGTATCACAACAAGTGTTGGCTCTGGAATGACCTCCCAAAATGGAGCTCACCTGAGTCCTGACTCATTCATTAGTAAATTTGGTATGGTGGAGCTGAAGCATCAGTAGTCAGAAGGTTACTAGTAGCTCAGTGCTGATTCATCTGCGGCGTTAAATGTTGCATTGGTTAAGCAACAACAATTGAGAAAGAAGCTGTTTCCCAGAGATTAAGAGGTGATGGGGAAGACTCGATGGCCTGAGGCTGCTTTTGTTCTTAAAAGGTGGGGATGAGGAAGAAAAAAGCTGCATGGTATTTATTCATGAGCAAAGCTGGTTAACAAATAGGGACAGGATGTTTATAAAAGGACTATTCCTGCCATAAAGAGTCCTTTCTTAACAACCTGAATAATTTCATAGCAAACTAAAATTATACTTAAAAAAAGGCAACTGTTCAAAGTGTATGTCTGTGCATCCTGCTATAGGTGTATGTTCAGACCTACCTGAGGACAACACTCAAAATACATGTGCTTGTACATCTGATATGTTGAAAAGATCTGTCCTTCATACCATCAGGTTTTTGTGATATTCTGGGAAAGAAGTGCTGACATTCTCGTTCAAGATCAATTTCTTTCTCAGGCATTGATGGTATAAAAAAATTAAGCATAGTGCTGTACTATTCTTTTTCTTCAGCTCTTTCCTTCATTTGTGCTCTAGCTACCACTCTCAAAAGATTTGAAAAATGTAAAATTCCAGAAGTAATTTGAAAGACCCTTGGGCTGAAAGAGTTGCTGTGGGTATTTCAAAATCCTGTTAAGTAGCTATGAGTGCGTGACCCATTAACTAATGAAGAATTTGGCTGCTTACTGTTTATTCTTGTTTTATTGTTTTGTCTCCTTCTGTACATGCATCTGAAGTAAATTACTGTTAGGTCTTTAAATCAATATGGTCTATACTAAACTGATTACGATGTAGGTCATAACACTTTAGTTAAGGAATTTCCTTAAGGAAGTCTGTCCTTGCTTTACTCCCATACTAAATTATTTGTTTGAAGGACCCTATAAGGGCATGACATTGTGTTCATTCCTCTTCACGGCAGTACTTGCTAAAGCAGTTTGTAGTTAAAATGGCATTTCTGGCCCCAACCAACTGTCAAAAAGAAAAAAGTTGTGAAAACTGCAACTTTATTTAGCTAAAGGAAAGTTGGGGAGTCAAGGCTTCTGAAAATTCCCTGAAAATTTTACTTGCCAAAACAAGTTCTGAACTCCTGGTCACAAACACAAGCCCAGCTTTTTACAGTGTGTGAGTAATGAGAAAGGGGTTGCATCATGGCTTTGGCCAGTCTTAGGGTTTGCTGAAAGGAGACTCTGCTCTCACTCCTGACTGTGAACCCATCTATTTATGTAGGCTCTGGCAGGAACAGACTCTGTAGAACTAAGTCAGCCTGGCTGCTGATTAAAACGTGTTTTACTGGTGGATTAACAAATTGCATTGGCTGAGCTGAAGTCTGACCACAACTGTGGCAGGTACAAAGAGGTGGGATACATGAAGCTGGGAAAAAGAAGTGTGGAGAAACAAGAAGGACCTCCCATTCCTGGCAGTAGGGAGCTGTCAAACCAGCTTAGCTGCACTATTTAACTTCAAAAATTATGTTTGGAAATTTTGCCTGAAAAGGCATGTGTCATATTTAAGATTTTTCTGAACAGAGTTTAAGTTCACAATTCAATTCAGATTTCCAGGTGGTCATGTGAGCCTGTTGTCTGATAACTGTCCAAATCATTGAAGTTTTAGACTTAGGTATCATCTCAGTATTAAGGTTTTAAGAATTTCTCTTGGTACTACAATGCAATTAAATCAAATACAGAGAGATTTTAATACCCTCAGCCAGTTTTGCAGTAATCTCATCATGTCATGCCCACCAAGATGAAAAGTGGCAGAGCAGTGTATCGGCTTCCTATGAATGTCCCAGTTTCATACACCCTAGTCCTGCATTCTCTTAGCAGTGTTGCTGAGGCTGTTGAAGATGCTGTCACACATGACCTGTTGGTCTGTAGCAGGTCTGGAAATGTTTTCCTTACCCTAAAGCCGAATAGATCTTTGAAATGCTTCCGCTAGACCAACTCTGAGAACACAGTTATGTGTTAGCTAGTTACAAGTCAGACAAAATGTGAAAAATTATTATGTGTAGGCCACAGGAGAGCTAAGTTGTGAATTGTGTTTTCCTTCTGGATCACAGCTTGACTACCGTGATCTACATCATGGCAAATGTTCCAGCAGAGGATGCTGTTCCTACTCAGCTCTAGGGTTTAGTGTAGTAATGATGAAAGCTAAACTGAGCAAATAAATGGACATTTACCATTTAAGTACAAGATGGAGTGTTTCTATTAACAGATGCTGCAACTGCTGAATGTTCGTATGGACTGTAAATTTTCCTTTTTTTAATGATAATTCAAGTAAAATACTCAGATTTTTTTATTTTCTAACAAATTGAAATATTCTTTTTGTCCTTCTACCTCATAGAAACAAACTCTACAGCAGTGCAACTGCAAGAGGAGTATGTTTGTCCTCTTGCCCTGGGTGTATCATGCACCATTTTCAATGGCGACCTAATTCTGGGTGGGCTGTAAAGAAAAATGCCTGTTTAAAAAGGGAAAGGGAAAGAATATCCATGGGCTCTTTGAGGCTTCTATCCATCACCTCTATATTATGAAAGTCTTGTATCAGATTCCCACATGTCATTATTATATGTATATAAACATACATATTTTATATTTAAAATTGGATGTGTTTATTATCCTGTGGTTTTCTTTGTAGTGCAAAAGAAGTGTGAGACTTATTACTGTTTGAACATGCCTACTGTACATTTTAGATACAGCTACTTGTTTTGATATTCTTCTCCAGGGTAAAAAATTCAAATTGGCCCAAAGAACACACAAATCTGGGGGAAAGGGAAAAGTCTAATCATTGAGTAACATTTGACTGTCATCTTCCCAAGACATTAAGGAGAATTATGAGAATTAAGCTGAAGAAAGCAAAGAGAAAGAGAAGGCAAAGGATGTTGTGCAACTGTGAGCAAGATTTCTTTTATAACAAACAAAAGCAAGACTAACTTCACATGTAGTTAGTCATATAAGACTGACTTTGTAAATCTGACTGGTGTTTGATCAGCACAGTGGTCCAACCATAAAAGTAGTTGAGGTGCAGCTTAATGTTACTTCTGCTATTTCCTGAACAACGTACAAGTTAGGATTAATTTTTGGATGAGTACACAGGACTAAGTTCAGTGTGGGCTGTTGCTTCAGTTGCTAGCACTAAGCATTTGATTGGAAGGTGGGGCAGGGGCTGCAGAGCCCTGCTGTGCCTGCCCTGTCATCTTCCAGAGCACCTCATACAACAGGCTTGTAGTTCCATGGCCCAACCAGTGCAGCATCTAGAGCATCCTGCACTGGTCCCAGAGCCAGTGTGGCACCTTCTGCAGGTTAAATGGCAGTTCTGGTCCATTCATATAATTCTACCCTTTAGCCACGGGCAAAAGACACAGTTTTGAAATGCTCAAAATGAAAATGAAGGCAAATATTACAAATGTCCTTGAAACCTGCAATCGCTGCACAGTTACCGTGGTGGAATGAAATGCACCGGAATGGTGCAAAGGAGCTGGATCCATGGAATATAACACTAGCACTGCATTCTTTATTTGGAATGGATCCAGAGTCCAGGAAGTACAATATAGCTAATTGATATCAAAATAATGGCAATAAAGGTTTTGCTTTAACTTTTAACAGGAATTCACCCATGTTCTATTCAGGATTAGTAAATGAGTTTTTACAAGGCCCACTGGAGTCTTTTATTTGCTGACTTTTATTGAGTTTGGTTAGCAGGAAGCAGTAGTTAAATTTGAATACAAGAAGTTAACTCTGTGATGGATGTTGCATTCACAACTAACATCTGTCATGTCCCAATGAAACCTCTTGAGAAACTGTGTGAATGCTAAGAAATACAAGAGCTTTTGCAGGAGTGTGGTTTACATCACATTTGGAATCTTTGCATGCCCTGAGAAAAATTCAGTCATGATCCAGCCTCGGTCTAAAGCTGCCATTGGAGTTGATTTGAAATACACAGGATTGTTTTCTGTGTTCTTAATCAATCATAGCATATCCTCATCCCCTTCCAAAGGCTCTGTTGAGATGTCTTTTGAATTGTGGCTAAAATACAATTTAATGCTATTTTCAAGTGTGAGCAGATATCCTGAGTTTCTGAATCCTCACAGAGAATTCTGCCAGCCATGCCTTTTCTTGTATCAAGAATATCAGGCTGAGACACATGGACTGCAACTGTGGCCATATGGTGGCATGTGTAGGAAGGAGGAAGGAGTAATGGGGAAAAAATTCCTTCCACAGAGGAAGGAGTAATGAGGAAAAAAAAGAGAAGTGACTCTACACCCCTCCCATGCAGTACTTGTTCTTCATAACAAACATTTGAAAAAAAATTGCTTTCAGTCAAGCAGTTCAGAAGTAGTTCTTGCTGTTCTGACATGAACTTCATTTTATTAGGTTTTTAAGGTGTAGCCTTATGCAGAGTACGTGACAGCAGCATTATCCAGATGAAAAGCAGTTATTAAGAGCTACACAATGAGCAACAGTTGCATAGGTATAGTAACTTCAGAGTGAAGCTGCTTAAACATGAAGGCACTGCTGGGAGGGGTGGAGGAAAGGCATCCTAAAGAATCATTTCTGTGGAAGGAGCATGTCTCTCCTAGGCAGTCATTCCCCAAAAAGGTTGTGTGTACTGCTGGTAGAAAAGGGAGCAAGTCACATTCAAATCAAATGTGAAATGAAGTGTACCATGGCCTTACAGCAGATGTGAATTCACACTGTCAAGGCAGTTTTTCTTTGAAGTGTCCTTTCCTTTTGCTGGGGGCAGGGGGAGACAGTAGTGAGTGTTGTGAATTATGTGTGAAATATGTATTCGATTTATGCTTGTAATACTAGTGTGGGAAACTTGTGATCTCTACAGACATTTGATCATTCTGTGTTGCTACATACTCAGCTAATATTCTGCATTTTCAGATACTTGAGAGAAAGCATAGAAAAATTGAAACTAAAGGAAAATTACGGAAGTCAGAGATGCTAAAAAGGAACAGATCAAGTATCTCCCTTTTGGCCCAAACTTGAAAACTCTGAGGGAACAGAAAGGTGAGGAATGAAAAAGAATGTATAACAAAGGAGTTATGTATATGTGCATGTAGATATACATGCATATTTGTCTATAATATGGGATCGGGTCTTTTGATGAGCTTACTATTCAAACTTTAACTTTACCTTGTTTTAAATAAGATGTATTTTTATCTAGGGAACAGATTGGGAAACTGAACCTTTAGATTTTGATTCTTTGAAATCTGATGTCGAATTCACTGAAGCAGTTCAAGCAGTAATGTCTTTATCCTCTAAAGGGCTAAAGAAATTAAACAAATAGATCCTTGACTTCTGATTTTTCCTTCATGTGTAAACAATGCTCTTGAAATTACTGTGTTTTGTCTCACTTAAGGACAGTGGATCCAATAAACTCTTCAATGTATCATCCCCATACTAATCTTTCTTGATACATTACAATATCTTGATACATACCTTTTCTTGTTTCATATTAAAAATAAAGGTAGCAACCGTGACTTTATGAGTTTAGGAGCATTCCAATATATATCCTTTATTTCAGTATTCCTAAGGCCTTACACAAACCATCATGCCCAATGCCAAGCCAAGTTCCCTGTTAAAATGTGATTCATGTTTTTTTGTCATCTAGCCTTTATTGTATTGTGGAAAGGCAAACAAAGACTGAAAAGCACATTTTATATTAAATAGCAGTACTTGACAATGAATATTTGTTGGCCAAGAACCAGAAACTGTGGACCTGACTTGCAGAACTGTTGCCTTAATTATCCCTTTTCCTGAAAGGGACTTAACACTTCATGTCAGTTGTCATACACTATTTTTTTTCAGCTGAGACGTGTAATCCTGCCTGCTTAATCCACATATACCCATTCCTTAGGATTTTTTTTAAGAAAGGGATGTTTTCTCTTCTACAGGAGAGAAAAAAACATGTCTATCTTATGGAGCTTATTGTCCACACAACAATGAAGAAGTTACTGTATGACTCGGAGGGAGTGTATACAGTGGTTTTGTAAATCCCTCTGAGCCTAGTCTTGAGTAAGGCAACTAATCCCAGTAGAAGGGTATTGCCTCATGAGAAATCTCTGCAGAGCTGTGGAATACATTCCTCCACCCCAGTTGCCCAGGCTGTTTGTGTAATGGGGCTTTGGTTACTGCTATAGATAGACTGTGCAAACTGATGAAACGGGGGTATTTTACACCCACTAGTTTTGTTTCATTATGTATTTGCTCACAACCTCCTTCTCTGCCCCCCAGTAATATACTGTCACTGCTATGGAGACTGCTGGTCCTTAGAAGCAATGAAGAGGCATCCTCAAAGGTATTTGTTGTCTCCTGTACTTCTTTTAGGCCTGTGCAACCAAGTTGTAATTCTTGACATGTATCCCTTCCCACTGCCTTTGAGTCCACATCATTCTAATGTGTACTGCAGGACTCCTTCTCAGAAAAGCAAAACTAACAGTAGAGTAACTGATTCCAAATTTTTAACTTTCTATAGTTACCTGTAAATACTTTCCTCTTTATAGAATTTATGAAGGAAACTTATACAAAAATGCTATTAATTTTCTGTCTTTTCTTTTAATTGCTGTGATTACAAAACACTTTCATGCCCATGAGCTGGAGGATTCTGAATAAGTTCCAACAGAATACAATTACTCACTCCTACTCCACCTCACTGCTGTGCTAGTAACCATGTCTTATTAATCAGCCTTACTGTCCACTCAAGCCTTAGAAGCTACTGTCATTTGGAGTATGTCACAAAACCTGTAAGAAATACTTAGTGGTAACCTGAAGTCCCATTTGCAGTATGCAGTGACAATAAATCAAAAGATAGTTTTATATCTTGAATCAGAGAGAAGGGTAAAAGGGGAAATCTGTGAAGCTGTGGGAATGATGGTCCCTGGTACTAATGTTAGGTGTGCATTAGGCATTTTTAGGTAGCTGAAGTTTCAGCAGTGAGTTCTGTGCTTTGTGTTTTCTTATAGTACTGAATGTGTGTGTGTGTGTGTGTGTGTGTGTGTGTGTTTAAAAATTGTTTCTTTAAGCATATTGTAGTAAAAAACCCAAGCAACAAACACAACTCCCTGAGATTTATGCAAATACTGATCACCATTGGGACTGGGAAATCTTTTGATATAGTAATTTAAATTACAGATGAAGCAGAAAAAGGAGGGTACAAGTGATCTAACAATTATACCATGATGCTGCCTCAGAGCACTGAGAAGGTTGTTTACATATTTTACAAATAATGAAACCTTATCCTCTCTGCTGGAGCTACCAGTCAGCCTACAGCAAACATATCAGCCCTGAGGGATTTGAGAGGAACCCACCAATTCATTTTCTTCTAGTCACAAAGCACCACCAATGGAAGCGCTGGATCCAAAGGGATGAAAGGGGAGGAAAGGTATTATCAGCCTCCTAAGCATGGAACACTTTTGAAAGATGCCTCTCTGGTAAACACTTCCCAAGACCTTGTGTGAACTATTTACCAAGAGCACAAAGACAGATGACGTGCACTGGCTTTGCCAGCCAGCCGAGATCTTAAGATGTAGATGTTTGGGTTTTTTAACCTCCAGTTATCTCTCTGGAGTATAGGAGACTGCTTTTAAGGCTACACTGAGCAGGAAGTGCTGAGTATGTTCCTAAAGGTGTGGCTTAGCTCCCCAGCAATTCCCTGGTAGCAGGGGCGTGGTAAACTAGCCTTAAGTAAAACAAACAGGCTTTGTGGAAATCAAAAGCTGAGAATGCAAGCTGTTCACATCTCTTTGATTAAAGCAGCTAATCTTTGATTGAAGGTGGTGGGCTCCACCTTGTTCCCCTAAACCAAACAAGTTCACAAGGTTTGGATTTATAAGTCTCATGCTTTTGATACCAATGCAGAATAGAAAATGTTTTTAAAGGTAACTTTTGTAGGACATGTTGTGAGAAAAAGAGACATTTACACATTAACGTATTACAAATATAGTATTAAATAAGAAGAAAAACCCTGTATAATTTCTTTAAAATCACATTACCCTGTACAGAATGGCTCATCTTACACTGAGAGATACGGAGCAGAACCCATAATCCTGAAAATCTCCACCCTTTATTATTGAGTCCTTTTGCCTTGTCTTTCCCAGGAGAAGTTATGTGTTCTTGCCAGAAGCCGACCAGGAAAAGTTCTACTCTTGCACGAGGCAAAGCAGATTGCTGGTACTTTGATCTAACTGGCAAGAATTTAATTTATAGACAGTATTCCCTTCTCCAGCAATCTACACTGCAAAAGGCTACTATAGATATACTCTCTGACAGGGATTCCTGCATAGATAGGCAGTAATCTGGCGTTTTTAAGAGACAGAAAGATCTGATCTCACATCTTAGGTTTTATGTCTGTACAAAGTAGGTGTAAAATGCTGCCCATCGTGACTCATCAGTGATCACAGCCTGATTGCCCTCAGTGACAGCTGCAGGAGTTGGGCAGTAGCTGCCCCAGGAGAGCCTGCTGTGCCCCAAAGCCATGGATCCACCAGACTGTGAGACAGAAGTGCCCCTCTTGTTGGCCCATGAGTCACTGTCTTGCTTTGCCAGGATAACTCTTTGTGGAACCAACCACTGAACCAAATGAGGGAATGAGTCCACCTTAAGGAATACATCAAAATATCAAGTATTGATTCAGAGTGGAACCCCACAAATAGTAGTGCTGAAGAATCAGAGGGTCCAATAAGCCAAAGATGGGATGAGAATGAGTAGCTGAAGTTGGATGAACAAGGAATGCCTGAAATTTATATTTATGTCAAACAGAGTTCATTATGAAACCTACAGCTTTAGAACACAGTTTGTCATATGTGGCAGCCTCAACCAACTTCTAACTATTCCCATTTCCTCAGTGGGGATATATTTGCTTATAGTGAATACTAGGATTTTATTTATCTGAAAAATAATGAGGGAGTAGATTGGACTCCTCAGACTCCCTGCTCACACAAAGCAAAGCACTAGAGTATGGAAAGGAGGAGTTAAAGTTATGTCCCAGACAACTACTTCATCCAGAGCTTTATCAGTACATTCACTTTAGTCACTGGTGGACACTCCCAGAATGTGCCAGGCCACTTTCTCTTGTGTCTGCCCCAGGGCTCTTTTTCTTTTCCTCACCACCATATCTTTGAACCTAGAAAAGGCAAAATCTTACTATGTTAAGGATGTCACAGTGTGGTTGAAATAATTACTTGAGGAAAACAAGGAACGACTGAACACAAGGTGATATTTCCTGTCAAACAAGGGTGTGCCACATGAGCAGAGGGTTTTGGAAAGGGGGTGAGGTAGTACTGGCACTTATGAAACAGCTCTGTCACAGTATATTATCACAACTCCAACTTATTAGGAAGGGAATTGCACCTGCTTGCCATGTGCTTAGTTATTATCTGTTTATAAAGCGATTCTGCAGCTATTAAGTGATAAATGCACTGAGTGAATCATATGGCATCTTAAATTTAAAATTTCTGCAGTATGCCAAAGGGAATAATCTGTCTTCTTTCTGTCTGAATACAGTTACTGACTGTACAATATGTTTCTTTGAGAATGTTTCTTCTCAAGAACCTGTATGGCTCTCTTGTGTCAGCCAGGTGTGTCTGTAAGGACACTGCTTCTGTCTTCCTTCCACTGTACACTCCACAGCATATGAGGTGAACATCAGGCAAAAGGGAGAAAGATCTTTGGTCAAGCACGCTCAGAGCTCAAAGTGAGGAGAGGATTTGTTGAATGGAACAAGGGAATATATCTGAGTGAGAATCTGATGATTCTACTGGTGTGACTGTAACTGTAAAATACAGTTCAGTGTAAACTCGAGTCTTGCATGCAAGCAATTACATGTAGAGGTGCTCTAGAAAAAAATGAGATATCTTTGCAAAAACTGTAGTTGTCTTGTCAAGCTACAAATGGCAGAGTAGAAAATAAACTCATCTAATCTTCCTAGAAATTGGCATAATAGTTCTTCTAGAGTCTGGTAGTAACAAGTCAGACAAGACTTTTGAAAGATCAGGTACTTTCAAGAAAAAGACAGTGAAAAGAGAAATACAAAGAAAAGTTGTATCAGAGGCCTGCTTCTTTGAGGAGATCATTCCATCCTTTTAATGGGACAGAATAGGACCCAGAGTGTGTTTGAAATTCCCCTGTCAGATCCTAGGGATGTAACAGTTGGTGGTAGAAGTGAAGTGGAGCAAAATAAAGATAATCAAGATGGAAGATCAGGAAATCATTGAATGATAGGTCCTGTCATGTCTATTTTGGATGCATATAATTGCATTCATCAATTTATTATACAATACTCTGATGAAATGTTTTTAAAATTAAGTACTTCAACAGGTGTTTAGGTTTTGCTTAAATTTTGCATTTATATTTTACTTCTGTTTATCCTGTGGTGAGAAAAAGATGTGTATTAGCATATCTGTATGTACAATAAGTTTAATTAAATCCTAATGAAGAAACAGGTTAAATGTCAGAGCAGCTAAATCAAATGGGAATGAAATATTATAGGAACACACCCTCCTTTTTTATGAAGGTTTTATGTGTCAGCTGAGAGCTTGTGGTACAATGTGAATAAATAGCCAGAGATTCATAATTTCTGCCAAGATAATGTCATGAGGTCAATTGTCAGTTAAGCTTGAGAAAATGTAACGTGCATAAATTCATCATTAATTGTGTAATTTATATAGTTGTTTTCCATGGAGTAGTTTGGACTTCCAGTATACAGTCCTTTGTATTTGCTTACTGATCCATTCTTTCATCATTACTGTATTGCAGCATTGAGTACCAACTCTCAGTAAATGGGAGTGATGTAGAGCCTGCAGATCCTTTGATGTAGATAATGGCATTTACATTTTTCATGTTGTCTGTTTTCCTGTTTCCATACAAGGTGACTGGAGTTAGATGTCCAATGTAACAGATGGCTGTAGCTGTCTCACTGTAAAACATCAGTGATTTTGTGTTTTAGTGAACTTCTGAGAACTTTCTAGCTGTGCAGTGGGAGTGCATTTCCGTGTGGGAATACAATGGGCTGAATATCATTGAGCCATTGAAGGAGGATATGAAGGAGTAGTGCAAAAATCCTTTTCTAAACAGTTAAAGGACTACTGAGTTACCTGTCCTGCTACTCCTGTGACTGGAAGTCTCTGAGTTGATCTGTTAAATATAAAGTATAAAATGGCCCAAATTACATGCCTCATGTAGACATCAGGTCATTCTCATTTTTCATTATGATGAGTCAACCTCTTGATCTTTTCACAAGAGGATATAATTTTATCCTGTTGAACTTTAGACACGTGAAATAATTTTAAATCTTATTGCTTTCGAGTAAGAAGATGATGCTACTTAATTGTATGTAAATACTAGTGAATAACAGACAGCATTTTGTATTGCAGTAGGTTGTGTTACCAATTTATGTATTTACTCTTTTCACTGGGGTGATAGTGATGGTGGCAGGGATGGTGATAGCAGAGCTTTTTTCCGTTATAGCTTATGCAACAAACAACTCACTAGATTAGTCTTATTATTAAAAAGCAAATTTTTTACTGTTGGTTATGTTGCTGCACTGACAGTCTTGTAAAATGCTATATCCTTTCAATGGACAAAGAGAGGATGTGTCAGTAATAGAAGTGTTTTGATTTAAGGCTGAATATCTATTTGCTTAAAAACCTGCCACAATAACAATATTTTCCATTGAATTTCCATTTTCATATTACACCTGAGACAAGTAAAAAAAGTAACCAATTGCAATGAAAATTTATTTAGACAGATTATAGGGGCAATAAAGCTTCACGCAAAGTCAAGTTTTAATCACAGGTAAGGTAGACTGAAAGGGTCAGGAAGCACTTGCATATTCATCTCATTAGGTAACAGAAATTGTATCACATGGCTTGTCTAATTTACCACAGCTTAACAATCCTGTCTCAACTAGTTGCAGAGAATTATTTAAAAATTTGACAGTCAGATCAGATTGGCAACTGGGAGAAAGTTTCTCCTCAGCAATGTAGTGCAGCACTGGAACAGGTCATCCATGGGGGTTTTCAAGACACAGCAGAACAAAATCCTGGCTGGGTCAATCTACTGCTGGCAATAGTCCAACTGTGGGCACAGTGTTGGACAGGACTTGCAGAGGTCCTCATCAGGAATCATTTCAATTATTCTAATTCCAGAAAACCGTCTAGTAACTTATTTGAAGGACAGCATTATTTCCAATCAAAAAAATGGAAATTCATTGTATCTTTGTTAGAAACTGTTAACTTTAATGTAAATCTATAGTAATATTTATAAGAGACACTACTATGCATGCATGTTTGATCTGTCCATAAATCTGGTAGAAAAGTAAATGCATAGATTTTGAAAAGCCTGATACCTGTAATCCAGAGAAATTTGGCTAAACAGCACACACCTATATCCAATGGGAGCTGAGCATGTATAAAACCTTTGTAGGATTAAAACACTAGATTGATTCATCCCATAAAGGAGAGAAGCTATGTAAAATAATAGGGGAAGTAATTCCATTTTTATTTGTCTAGTCACAAGTTTTATGTTTTAATTTACCTTTAAGTCAATAGAAATTTAATTCCAAATGATACAGGAATATAAGTCAATACTTTCAGTATGGCTTGATGGTGTTAGTATCTGCAAGGTAGTAATCCATCAAACCACCTTTCTGAAGCACTTTTGCATATTGCCAAGCTTCTGTGGATATCTTGATGGAAATTATTTCAAGGCTTCTACATTACACTGTAAGAATGACAGACCTACCTGTCAGACCAAAAAAATCAGATCTCTCCAAATATCTAGACAGGAATCAAAGAACACTGTTAAGCAGTTTCTCCCATGCCTTTTCCCACTCATTTGCTGTTGAAGAAAGGATGCCAGAAAATATTTTACATATGGGTTTATGTTTCAGGAGTTACAGTAAGCTCCTCCTTCAGAAAATATTGCTGCAGTTGCTTATAATCCAACCCAGGAGCCAAGGACTGAGTTGATATGAAGTCTAAATGTCTTCTCACATTTGCTTACAGATCACTCACAGATCTTTTACTTCCTGTGCCAGTTCACTGTGGAGCTGCTGAGGCATGCAGAGAGTTTACTACTACCCCTATTGTGCAGATAAACACCAGGGCTCCATATTTTATTTAGTATCTCTGTTTCTCAGAATCACAAAAAAAATTCATCTAGAAGAGAGCTCTGGACGTCTTTGGGTCCAAACTCTCTGCCCTGCCAGCACAGCCAATTTTGAAGTCAGATCCATCTTCAAAGTTAATTCACTTTTCTCAGGGCATGTCTCAGGGTTAAACATCATATTTTTTTCCTTTTAACTGATGAGTAAAATATTCATGAGGACAAATAACTTCTCAATATCATACAAGTTTGGAACAGAAGATTGACTTTTAGCTTCCCTGAAAGGTAATTGAAGTATTTCTGTAGATCTGAAAGCATCTAGGATATTACTCCAGATCCCATGTCTCCAAGTTTCATATTCGGCTTTAACAAAAGGGCTTCAGTGATTAGGACATTGAGTCCACAGGAATTTTTAATAATAATGTAATATAGGTAAAAGAGGTGGTGGTCTTTTTCCTCCCCTTTCCTCCTTTCCACTCCTCTCCTCATCTCATGAAACAGTGTAGTGTGTATTTAAGAATGAAAAGCAACTAGATTTATCCAAGATTTAGCCATTGCACTCACAATGCATTTAATGAGTTTGCTCAGTGTTGTCATGTGATCTGTGATCTATTTTCTAGTCTTAGTTGCTTGATTAATAAGAAACAAACAAAATATCTACAGTACTAAGCTTGCATAACAATGAATGTCCATCTTTAAAACTTTTATTCTCCACCCAGTTACATTTATGAGAGGTTATCCTTGTATGGAGCCTACAAACAAGTACCTGTACAAATACGCCTGCCAGGATTAAAGCTAAAGGTGAGCAATAACTCTTTATTTCAGCAAGATCTTGGTTACAAATTAACTTTGCTATGCTCACTGTACAAGGGCTTACCCCACATGTTTTTCAGGAAGTGGATCCTGTTACTGTTCTGTGGAGACAGGCAATGTCATTCCTTCAGATTTTTTAATATCATTGCAGAGATGTATAACTCAGGGCAGGGAGATGGAAGGCTGTGGATAGAAGGTGAATGAGAAACCCTAATCTGATATTTTAAAATGTTTGATATCCCAGGAAGGCCAGCATTTATTTAAATTTTTCTTTTAAACATTTTAGAATATGTTTGAAGTTCATTTAGCTAGAATAGTTTAGATAAATTAATAACAGTAGAATTATGTGAATCAAGATAGTAGAAACCAGATGGGTTTTTTTGGAAGAGGGGCTACATTTTATGAGATGATCTAATTTAATTGTGAAAAATATGGAAGCTTTTGAGCTCACTAGCCTTGATACCATGCATAGATTTCAAATAAGATTTCAAGGGTCTTTGACACTGATCTGAGGAGGACTTCTTTAATCTATGTTGCTCTAAGTGAATTACAATACTTTTTCTTTCCGATAGATCCTAAAAGACAAGTACGTATGTACTGGCATTCTCTGTGCCAGTTCACTGGAGCCTGGGATCATATCTGTCAGCCTGGCCAAGAATTTATCATGGGCATGATCTTCTATAGAAATCTGCTCATTATAATCCCATTATTTGTGAAATACACATTAGGGCTACAAAATGACACCCTCATGAAGCAGCTAAATTGCAACAGATGGGGACATTTTTTTCTGTGAACAAAGCTGCAGGTAAAATCTGTGTTTTCAGGTCTGTGTATAAACACTGCCTCCCCTCCAGCACCCCACGAGATAAGTGTGGCTGGGAGGAGGGGAACAGCTCGGGGTAAGAGGAACAGTTCTCACACCTGCAGTCAAGGTATTGTTATGGTTCTTATTACAGACTTTGGGGATAAGAAGCATCCCATGCTCAATGATCAGGCTGCTATGTTATTTCATTACCACTGTATCCAAAGGATATAAGTAACCAAAAAGAATATAAGTGGGTTTTTATTCTACTGACGACTTCTAGAAATGTATTGACAGAGGAAAATATAGCTGTTGCATAAATTCAGCAGTGCCAGAAAATATAATGCTGAAAACATTTGAGTATATAAATACATATTGCAGATTAAAGTTTTCATCTCTGAGTGTTTGGGAATTTGCCCTTTCTGTACCAATGAAATATCTTCAGAATTGCTTCTCAGGCAGCTGCACATGTGAGGTGCAGAGACAACAGCTGAGAGGTGTTTAACAACTGTCTTGTAATGTTCAGTGAGATACACCTGTGCACTGCAGAGTTTCCTGCATGGCCTCTGTCAGGTAAATGCTTCTAATACATAACTTCTAAGGTACTTCACGTGAGACATCATCCTTGAAATGTAGTTTATTTTCATTGAAATAAATGGAATTAGTCTTACTGATGGTGTTAGCATGTGAATCAGTGTTTGCTGAAGGAGGTCCACAATAACTGTTATAATTAACCAATTATAAAATTAGCATGTTAAAAGAAGATGAGAAAATGTGATTTACTAATTAAAGCTATCAGCTATTCAGTTAAATGTCCAACTCTGCATTTTCCCATGATAGACATTAGTAGCTAAATAGCAGCATGATTTTTCATTCAGTGAAAACTGTATTTCAACACAACACTAATATTGGAGTACAAACTGAAGATTTAATTAAGCAAAAGAAATATTATTACTAGTCTAACTAGCAGCACCTGGCCCTTAAAAATCGTTAGTAGCTCCTCAGTGGTGGCAATAGGAAAAATAATAACTGTTGAAACAGTTCAGAGGCATTTTCATTTTCTTTTCTGCTTTAAAATAAATTTGAGTTTGACAATACCTCTGAAAATTGTCTCAGTCTGCAATGTTACAAATATTACTGCTGCTGCCGCCGAGCAGAAATGCTTAGCAGTGTTTTTGTAGCAGCTAAACTGGGTGATGATTTCCCATTGTGGATTCTCACGTGTGAAACGAGAGAGAGAAGCTGTCCAGCTTGGTCTGCAGTTAATACACAGGAGCTGGTTCCTTACTGAGCAGTTGTAGGGTAGAAAACGCAGGACTTTATATTGCTGTTTTGCAAAACTTCCTACATACACTCTCTCAAAACAAACAAAAAATATTTTCCTAGGACCCCCCTTACAAACTAGAGAATAGGGCCTAAAATACAAAGTACTTTCTGTCTGTAATATCCCTTAAAATCCTTGTAGAATACTACACCTTTATTACACATTAACGTTGGCATGGGCCGCTGGATACACACGTAGCAACGCGCACAAAAGGAAATTAATTAGGAGCAGGTAGAGACTTCTGTTTCGAGGATTTCAATGCTAAGTCATAAATTGTGTTTTAGCAACTCTACGCGTGTATTCCTCAGATTTGCCGAGGAAAGGGGCCGGGTGTGAGTGCTCAGAGCCCCGGATCCCCCGCACGAGGGGCCGGAGCGCGCGTTGCCTGCGCCGGGCAGGAGCCCGCAAAACTGAAAGCAGGTAGAGGCACTTCCTGCGGGCAGAATTAAAGAGAGAAAGGGAGTTCTCCTCTGATCTCCCTCAAAAACCAATCAGGCCAGATTAACCAGGCGTTGATTCTCCCTCCGTCCCTCCTACACCTTTTTCAGAGGCCCAATGGCCTTGTCCCTTTGGGAGATTGACTAGAGTCACATGAGCTGCACCAAGGGCAGGTAACTCAGGAGAGGGGAAGGGGAAGAAAAAAAAAAAAGGAGAGGAAAAAAAAACCACCAGGGCTAGGCTGAGCTTCTGCCATGATGTCAGAGGGAAAGAAACCCACAGCTTGCTAATTCCACCTCCCAATCAGCCCCGGGAAGGAGAGCACCGGGAACAGGTAGAGATGTGAGCTTGCTTTCTCCATGTTTTTTTTCCTCGAACACCCTACCTCCTTAAATAGCTCTTTCTTTCCTCTTGATATTGTGACTCCTCGTTTGCTCCTTTCCCCTTTGATTACTTGGAGGTTGGGGGTGAGCCTTGTGGGTTTTTTTTTGTTTTGTTTGTCAGTGTGTCTTTCTTTTTTTTTTTTCTCTCTTTTTTTTTTGACCTCTGCTTTTGATTGTAGTTGTTTCCCCCTGTGGTCATGACGGCTTCGCACAGTGACTCTTTGGTGGTGTTGTTTGGGGCAACAGCTGGTGCATATGGGGCTAAACTGGGTTCGGATGAGAGGGAACTAATTCTCTTGGTGTGGCAAGTTGTGGATCTACACAGCAAGAAGGTATGGCTTCGATCCGGGCCGAGGGCGCGTTCCCCGGGCACGGGGCGAGGGGGCTGCCCCGGCCCTCGCCGCCTGCCCGGAGCCGTTTGTTCCTTTCACAAATGCACCGAGGGAGGGGAGGGCGGGGGCCGTGCCCGGGGGTCGTGCCCGGGGGTCAGTCCCTGCCCGGGGCTCACACTCCGGAAGGTCCTTTTTGTTCCGTCTGAAGGGAAGAAGTAACTTTTAAAGAAAGTTTGGTCGCTTCCCACCCCTCGCTGCCCCGTCCGCCTTAAAACGTGTGTAGCTTCGAGGATGTCTACGGACTTCCGAAGCTTTAAAACAAAAAGCTGCCCCGGGTGGCTCCAAGCACGCACGCTTCCCTGGGAGCGGGCTCACGGTAACCACTGGACCCTTTGCGGCCTGCTGCGGGAGCCTTTTCTTTCTTTCCTTCTTTCTTTTTAACCAATATTTGGATAGCTTTTAAGAGACTATTGAGTTATTTTAATTCTTAGGCCGATCTAAAAGTCATCCCCAGTTTCCTTTCCCCCCCAAAAGCCCTATCATAGACAAGAGCCCCCTAGAGATGAAGGGCTTTGATAAAACAAACACGACTATCAATTTCCTTAATAGATTAACGAAACTGCCTTAACATTAAGTGATCTTCCCTTTGCAATTAACAACTCCCGCGAAAATGGGTGCTAACTGCAAAAGGCACCCCACGGAAACGGGCGCGGCCCCCCCAGAGCAGAGCGTGTGGCTGTGGCGGGTGGGAGGGAGAGGAAGCGGGGCCGATTTGTGAAACAGACAAATGCTGTAACTGGCTTTTTGGGCGGCCCCGGCACCTCTCCCGGCCCCCGGCACCTCTCCCGGCCCCGGCACTCTCCCGGCCCGGCACCTCTCCCGGCCCCGGCACCCCTCTGACCGCTCTGCAGGCCCAGCGCGGCCTTTGAAAGAGCTCATGGCATTGGGCCTCATTTTTGTCCATAATTTCTTAAATGTTTTTAGGTAGGGACACTACACAAATCCCTGGTGAAAGCAGACAACTTGGACTTAAGTGACCAGTGTCGCGAAGTCAGTGCCTTAACGCCGGAGGGACTGAGCAAAGCCGAACCGCTGGACCGGGTTCTTCAACAGGTGAGGTGCTGCCCTTGGGAGCAGGGGCTCTTCAGGGCAAACCTGCCAACCAGATTTAACGGATTTGAAAATAGAGATAGGATTTAATTTTGCCTTTCACTTTGAACGCACTAGGGGGGTTTCCATGCTTGTTTTAAAGCTAACCCAAAAGGGACCCGAACCATTTGAAATGAGAACCCCATAATTCTGAAAGAGTTTTGTGTGATACCAGAGTATTTGAGCTGATGCTGTAAGTCCTTGGAAGATCTGACTTCTGGTTATTTTGATGGGTCTACTTTTACCCTAAATTTCTCTTAAGCCTTAAAGAGTAGGCTGGTAAGGATACTACTTAATATAGCAATGCTAATCAAAGTTTCAAAATTCACGTGGTGTGTTTTAATCTACAGGTTCACTGCTATCATGGGTATTAAAAACTTGACTTTTTCCTCATTTGTTATTTTTAAAAGTTAGTTGAAATCTTCAAAACTGTATTTTCATATAACATCAGCTGTACTTGTGTATCACTCTTTTCCAGATGAGCTTAATTAGTGGATTATAAAGTGATTAAAGTTTTTTTTCCCTATGATTTCTGTAATTTTGCTCTTTGGCTCCTTTAATGTCCCAGTAAGACAGTAAATCTGTAAGTTTGTATGATACATCTCAAGAAGACCGCAGTTACTTATAATAATTAAATGCCAATAGTGTATACATACTCAGTTCCTGAAAGTTTGCTTGCTTTGACTGTCTTTTTTATACACAAAATGTGCTTGAATGGAAAAATACAATAGTGCATTTTTCTGTAACACATAAACCTGGCTTTCCACACCTTGTCTGAATCATCGTAGGTGTGTTTCAGCGAGAAACTTGCTTAGGCAGTAGAACAGGTTCACGTTGCTGTAACTTCTGGTGACACAGGTAACTTGGCAGACTTGGTCCTAAACCCTCTTTGATACTGGAATGGTTAACACTACACTTTGTAGTGAGTGTCTTTGAAGATGTAACTTTTACGTGTCTTAGAATCTGTCAGCATTAGCTGCAGGTGGCATTTGTTCTGCTTGCACTGGTTTTGCTGAAGCCCAAGACCAAGGGGTGATTTTTTTTTTTTTTAAGCTCTATAATAACCCCTGAGAAAATGTGCAGCTGCAGGTTTGATCTTGTCCCAGATCTTGCACTAAAGACATCTGGAACAGCTTAGCTTAGTACACTCTATTTAC